GATTAAAACCCCCACTGTTATTGCATCAGGAATGCAGATTCCTTTGTCCTACTGCAGTTATAGTTTAGAGATTAGGATGTCCTACCAACTCAATGTTCCTTTCTGGTTTCAAGGCAGTATAGTGTTTTTGTCTCAGAGCATGATGTAGAGCTGTATTACATTGCTTGACACAAAGATGCTGCCTTATAAAGTCAGAAGGCTATATAAATAATTCATTATGAAGAGGACAGTGAGCCCTGAAATCTGCCATACATTACAGTAACTGCTGTCTGGGAGATACAAACAAAAAAAGAACAACCCAAAACCAACAAAAAAAGTTATCTGCAGAATAACAAGCTGGGAAACACCTGCCATGACTTTCCTATCTTAAGACAGAAATTTCAGTTACTAGGTCTGAATTAAAAATCTATTAAGCTTGCTTAGAGTGAAAATCTTTTAAATTTAACAAAACTTTTATTTTGCATTATCTAAAGGAGTCTTCAAGCTAAGCGAGGGGTCTATTTAATTATCCTTAAATGTGGCACTCCAGTTCTTCATCATCTCTGACACAAACGGATGTGAAACAGGCTGGAAGACCAGGAAATGAGGAAGTGGAAAACAAGTGTCTCCAAGTGGTGGCACCAAACTGCTGCCTGAGGATCCTGTGAAGGAGCATGAAAGGTCTCTCCTTATCCTCAGCCTTTCATAGGTTCCTCACTTAAAATCATCTTCTTATTTACAGCGTATGGAACAAGTAATAGGACAGAAGAGCCAGTGTTTAGCATGCAGAGAGTTTCTGTGTAAAATCTGAGATGCTTTATGGGCGAAAAGCCTTCTTGGCATGCTCTCACTCTTAGGATCTTAACCTCATGTGAATGAGTAATTTGCATGCCTGTGGCTGGACCAGCTGGCTCAAAAATTCATTCTTGTCCAAGATTAGGTCTAAACAGAGTAGAATTAAAATTCAGGATGATTAATATTTTAATCTACCCAAGTTGTGATGTCTTGGTACAGAAAAGAGACAGAAGATACCAAATCACACAGCCAAGAACATCAGAAGAAATGATAGTACGGAATCTAATAGTTATTTTCTTCCTTTGTGGTGGGGACATATCTAAATTTGATATATCAACTGTTGACAGCGTCAGTAATTCAGATCTACTTCAACAATGTATAGAAGTTATGACTTCTTGCTGACGTTCTTCTTTTTTTATCAACAGTATTAGTTTACATTTTCCAGTGGAAAGCCAACCAGCTGATGCAACTTTCTCACTCACAAGACAAACTATTATTCAGCAAGGCAGCCAAAATCCAATTGTTTCCATGATAAATCCTGCCCACATCTGAGCTTACACATCACAATTGGAACTGTGATTTTACAACCACTAAAAAGCAGAATCAACCAATGTGGTCAGAAGCTCAGCAGTGTGGTCTCTGTTCTCACAGCAGTGTCTGTACCCAGCCCCAGGCACTACTCTGTCATGGGAGAGATGCTGGGCAGGCACCCTGCAGACCCTCCAGAAAAGCCAGCTCTGCCAAGGAGCACAGCTGGTTTAACAGAGCCCCTCCACTGCCTTAGCAGGATTATGGGATAATCCTTTTCCTCAGGGGTCACAGTTCATTTTGCCATCACAGACACGTTACTGTCAGTCTAAGATGCTGGATGTACTGCTGCCTGTATCATGCAGCCTGTGAGACCCAGCAAAGCACAGATCAGAAATCGTAAGAATCTCCCAAAAAAAGGCATAACCTAAAAAGGGACAGTTTCTATCCAGCCAGACTACCCTCCTGGAAGTTCAATTTAACTGCTCCCAAGGTATGCAAAACTTCTGCTCCATTGGTAGGATTGACTATGGCTCTTCATCTGACCCTGAAAGCCTGAAGAAATAAATCCCATTTGGTCCGCTGGAAATTCAGATGTGTGCAGAGCTGCAGTTTTATCAACGAGAGGTTTTCCCCAAGACAATTTGTTAACCACAGCAGGATTAGAGCTCTTGGGTGGAAGCAGAAAGGGGAGACTGGGAAAGAAAGGAGAGACTTTCTTAGTAAGCTGTGAGTGTAAGTTGTGCAATATTACCAGGTCTGTGAAAGTCTCTAAAATGTGCCCTGGCTGACTTGTTCCTAAAATTTTTCCCTCAGTTAGTCAGGGGAATTCTGATTCACTGATTGCTCAGGGTATGGTGGTTACCTACAGGCTGCTTGAGAAAATGAACACCCCACAGCCTCTGAGGATGTGCATCTACAAGGGATTGGCTTCTTTTTATCCTACAGGCAGGAAGAGGCAGAAACTATTCTCTTCATCCCTCGTTCTGGTGTAACAGCAATCCAGATTGAAGCAAAAGGACCTCATATAATCTGACAAGTTTCCTGTGATCATAGTAACTATTCTATTCTTATTCTTCCAAATAATTCTAATAATATTCTTAATGAGTCTAAATTTTTGCCCCCTGTACAAAAACTAGTACTACAGTATTACTCCTATAATCCTGTTTTTTTTTCTTTCCTTCCATATGAACTGTTTCACTCGACACTGCTTCAGCCCTCTTCATTCTTTCTCTAGAGAGAGGCACAGTACCAGAAGTACCAAAAGCAATATCAGAAGCGGTGCTTTACTATGTTAATAAGCATGTTTTGGGAGTGAATATTACACACTTTTCCCTCTCCTTTTTAGCCAACCACAGGTTTCATAAGAGGATGTCAGTAATGTAAATTTCTACCAAATGCCAAAAAACAATTTCTGTGTTTTTCTCTCTGAAGGTGGTCTTTCATTTGGGCTAACTCCATCTGAATGCCACATCACAAAGCCACATCACAAAGCCACATCACAATCTGGCACCCAGACTAACAGTGAGTAACATCCAGGCAGTCATGGTATTTTTTGGAGCAGCTCTACGATATATTTTCCTTACATCTACTTGGGGCCAACCACAGCCACAGTCTGTGGCTGTGCTGCAATGAAACCCCACAGTATTGCTCCTGATGGGCACACACTGCTCTGTCCTGGACCCTGCTGACACTCAAAGGCACGGGTCCCTGCCCTGGCCCCACGCAAACTTCTTCTTCGGTGTCCTCTCATCCCATCCAGTGAGCACCTAAGATTTGGTACATAAAACAGTAACACCCATGTAGAGAGTAGGTGCCAAAGAAGATACCTCTCCTTCACAAACATAAGAACAAGGAGAATCTGTGTCCTTGGCCAGGTATCTGCTTTCTCCTGTCCTTTTTAAATTGTAAGATAAATGTCAGACTGCATCTATTACTAAATGCAAGGTAAAAATAAAAGGCTTCTGCTACATCCCAGACCTGCTACATCCCAGACTGATTATAGATCATGGACGGCTAGTGACGGTGATTCATTGCCTTGCAATGATTGTCTAGGAAAAAAAGCAGCAGGGATTATTCTCTGGCCCGGAGTGTCTTCCTCTCCAATAAAGTGCCCAGGCTCATATGAATACAGGATTTCTCAGGTACCATAGTCACTCTCCAAAACCCAGTACTCTCAGCTAAGAGATATTTTGGTAACTTATGGCTCAGCCACTCCTCCTATAGCTTCCCCTCAAGGCCTTTCACCACCCTTTATATCTTCTGTTTTAGCACCCAAAAATGCACACAATATCCAAAGTGAGGCTACTCGAGTGAATGACAGAGGGACAATCCTCTCTTTTGCTAGGTCAGTGTTTCTAGGCCTGATACTGATACTCCTCAGGACACAGGTGGCACTCCCACCTGCCAGGACACAGTTGACATTTCCATGTCAGTCAGCACAGTGAACTCAGACTTTCTAGACTGAGCCCAGACTTCTAATCCCTTCTGTTTCTCTTCCATCCTGTACATATTTGTGTTAAATCACTTCAAATAAGAAGTGCATGGAAGTGGGAAAGAAAAGGGTCAAGTCCTCCTTGTCCTGCTGTCCTTGTGGGCACTCCTTTCCTGTATCCAGTATATGCCCTTTCCTTGAGGACTCTCTGGCAAGATCCTACCAATTTCCTCCTCCACCTTCTGAGTGCTCCAAAGCCTGCACAGGTCAGTCCACTAGTGGCTCAGTGCCAAAAATATGAGATGTGTCCCACTGAGGAGGCCCCCAGCAGTGACAGCCCCAGGCATAGACAGCATGTACAGCCTGAAGCCCTCCCTGGCAGACTTGATCCATCCTTGCAGGGCTCCAGCTCCACTAGCTGCTGGGCCCAAGCCCCGGGGCACGTCCCTGCCATTACTGGGGAGCTGCAAGCAGGGCAACCCTTGATTAAGCACTGTTCCCACCCTTTGGCCTGCACAGAGTGTGCTCCTGGGAGCCAGATCCCTGGCAGCTGGACCTCTTCTTTTTTTGCACTTCTCTGTTAAGAATTACTGCCGAGGGGCTACAGAGGCTTTGGCCCATGCTCCAAGCTTGTGTTGCTTTCTTTGTCACACTTCCTCAGACCTGTCTCAGCCGATTGCCTATGCTCGTTTTCTCCCTGCTCTTGTTCCCTGGGCATGAACCCAGTCCTAGCCTTCAGAGACAAGTTCAGTCCCTTTTGAGTCCCATTCTCCTCTGCTTGGAGGACTACAGGACTTGAAGATACCTTCAGAGATTGGCCAGCTTTCCCATTCTATTTATGGACACTTATTCTTGTACCAAGCGCCTGTTACACGGACTAGTTAATTCCCGAAGGTATGTTTTCTTCTTTAATAAAAATATACAAAAAATAAGGAAAGCAGCCCCTTGCAATGGACCAGAAGCTCAGCAACACTCCTTGCCACAGCTTCTGCTCCTGCCTACAGGCAACTTACAGGCGAGGCAATGCCAGCCTTCCCAGAGGTGGGCAAGGACAAGAGAGAGCAAGAGGGCAAGAAGAAGCTTAAGCTGCGCCAAGGGACATTTGGGTTGGGCATTAGGAAGAACCTTTCCCCCGAAAAGGGGGATTCCATATTGGAATGGGCTGCCCAGGGTCGGGTTGGAATCCCCACAGCGGGAGTTGGCCGGGAAAGGAAAGTTTGGGCGTGGCGCTCAGTGCCGCCTTCTAGTTGCCATGGAGGGGATGGATGATAGGCTGGACGCCATAGTCCCAAGAGGGCTCTTGCAAGGTGACGGATGCCATGCTTCTGTGACATCGCAGCCCCGGACACACGCGGTGGCTGGAATCCGCTGCCAGTCCGTGCCCAGAGCCCGGCAGCAGCGGGCGCACAGAGCGAGTGTGGAGGTGCAGCTGGTGGCTGGTCGCGCAGCAGCACCATGCCCGGCCACAGCTTCCCCTGGCTCCTGCCGCTTGTGCTGCTGGAGGTCTTTGGCCGCCCCCTGGACACTTCCAGCCGTCCTGTCGGGTACACGGGCCCTTCGGCTCCGCTTGCCGAGGAACCGGAGCAGTGGGACGCGGGCCCAGGGACGACCCCCTTGGGGCACGTAGAGCTGCATCGTCGGAGCTGCGCAGCCCTGGAGCAGCTAGCGCTGCTTGCTTGGAGCCGCACATTCCTGGACCTGCTGGCGATGGGCGTCTTGCTCGGCTGGTGGCTGGGCAAAAGGCTCCGGAGAGGCCGGCGAGAGGTCAGGGACGGGGGAAGTCAGGCGGGGGATGGTGCCGGGGTGGGGCCGGGGCTGGCCAAGGCCTTGGGCCGAGCCGGTGTCCAGCGAGCCCTGTGCGCCCCCGCGGGGGAGGAAAGCGGGGCAGGTCCCGGGGCCCTGAGCCTCTCGGGCAGCACTGTGCCCGGGGCCGGCGGCAGCGGGAGCGGCTCAGCCCCTGGGCGCGGATGGGCCCGGGCTGAGCCCCAGGTACACCCGCAGAGCCCCCGCCCGGGGCAGCCTGCGAGTGTCTCCCGCCGGGGCCAAAGCCAGCCCGAGAGGCCTCAGCCCCCCGGGCCCCTCCGGCCGCCTTGCATCAGGCTCCCAGTCTTGTGCCGTCCAGGAGAAGCACCAGAGCCCCGCCGCTTCTGCAGAGACGGGCTGCCAGCGACAGGACTGCTGCAAGAAGCTGCTCCTGCGGCTGAGGGACACCCGTGCCCTGATGCGGCTGTGCCTGCGCCACCTCCGTCTGCAGAGGCCCAGAGCGAAGAGACGGAGGAAATGGGGCCTTTGGAACCGGAGGAGACTCTACTTCTCCCCTGCACGCTGCCTCTCCAGACCGGCTCCCCGTTTGTCTGTTTCTGCGGGGGATGCATGACCAGTGCTCAGCCCTAGCACTGCAGCCTCCCCCACCTTAGGTGTTAGTGAAGGCCCCCAGTCTTAGTTAGGTTTAGGTATAGGTTTAGGTTCCCAGCAGTTTTCTCCCCGACAAGTTGTAGTTTCTCATAGAGTTCAAGTTGACAAAAGTTGATGTAGTCTTAGCATAAGGTTCTCTCCCCTGTAGTCTTTGCACCCTCTAGCTGTAGCTCTTAGAAGTCACAATTAATAAAGTTCACGTTTTCTCTACATTTCTGCTGTACAATTTTTTACTGCTGTTGCATCTGAGAGGAGACGGATCCATTGCATGGTTTTGCATCTGATCTGCAGAGTAGCTGGAATGGGGAGGCTGGGTGTAAGAGCAGTGCTTGAGAGAGAGAGTATGAAGGGCAGGTGGGCAATATTCTCTTGCCTCTATCTTCAAAAAGAGCTCTGATTCAAGCAGGATCTGTACTGTGCCAGGGAGCCCCCGAAGGCACAGTGTGGTGTCGTCTGGGTGGCGTATGCTGGGGAACTCAAAGTAGTCCTTTATCAGGCAGAAGTCTGAGACACGCACAAGGCTGCCTAGCATTTTTTCTATTATTTTTCTATGTTTCTACCTTTCTAGGAAGCCCTCCACCCCCTTTCATGCTAAGAAAGAGAGGAGCAACTTCCTGTAAAACAAAATATCCATTCTAAATGAGATCTTTACTGCTCACAAAAAAATTGAATAAAACAACTCTTAAATTGTTCAGTGTGTGGATAGGAAAAAACAGCAAGCCTGGATCAAAAATGAGCAGTCCAGATAGGCTCAGGAATTAACACTGAATCAACAGGAATCGGTTTAACTTCCACATCTGCAGGACCAAAACACAGCACAGTTAATCTGCAGAAGCGGAAGGAACCGAACTCTTGGGAAACTTCACCCAAAAACGCGGCCCGTGGAGGGCCCTGTTCGGAGGGCAGCGGTGCCCTCTAGCGAGAGGAAGGGCTCGCTGCACCATTTAGATCCCGCAGCAGCAACAGAACTCCCGGATTTACCCGCCGGAAAGCTTGAAATGTTGAAAAGGTGCACTGCAGGAAATAAAATGCCTTCTCGTGACGACACTTTTAAAATAAAAATAAAATGCCTTATCGTGATGCCATTTTTTTGATAAAAATCTGGTTTGATAAACAGATGTTTTAGCAACACTTGAATATTCATTTCTATGGGACAATTTCTTTATCTTTTCTTGGCTTCCCCATTATACATATATATTCAAAATTACTGGAAATAATTTTAATTATGGACTGTTTTTTAAAATAAGCAGTAATTTTTTCAGTGCTTTGCCTTCAAGAACTTATATGACAAGTGATTACAATGACAACTGATCAGATTAAGTCAGGTTTCAAAGTTGTTTTTAATACTATTACTTTGTTGACTTTAATAAAGTCTGACAGACACCCCGTCTGCCTGTTCACTGCTTAAAAAAAAATCTTATGTATGATTACGCACTAAAAAAATCTATGAAAATATGAAAGATACATTTATATATATAGGCAAAGATCCCAAAAGTTGTTAGACCAAAGCTGAAAGATCCCAACTTCTGCAAAGAAAAAGTCCAGGCAAAAGGAGAGAAGATGTTTGAAAGAAAAAAATATGAGATGCTTTAATTATCTGTAGAGGACAGACCTCAAACAAGTCAGATGTTGCTCATGTGTTGCTCTTCTGTGTTTCATAGCCCAAGACACTGTACATTGGGGGTGTATATTACTGTGAATATATGTTTAGCATGAGCTTCAGTGAAGTGCTTAGAAACCTAAACAACTTTGTGGCTGTTTATTCATGTCCTGCATCTGGTATTGGAGTTCACCTGTTGTATATTGATCCTGAAAGTTTAGTTCACAGATTGCCACTTCTTCGTCATTAATAAATCCACAGGCCCCTTTGTCGAGGAGCACAGCTGGTGCAGGCAGCCCGGTTTGCAAACTGCAGCGTGAGATGCAGATTGAGCTCTGGGTGGGAGCCCAGCCCGACACTGAGAGACTCGGGAGGAAGAGCGAGACTTGCGAGCGGGTAGATGGTGAGGAGTGAAAAGCCCGGGGTTCCTTTGCTGGGGAACCTCCTTGGAGGAACCAGCTTGGGCTGCTCGTGTGTCACTGTGCCCTGAATAAATGGCTTCATGGAACGGGGTGTCTGACACTGCCATGGGAAACCCGGGGTCGAACTGGTGAGGAATCCTGGTCTGAGCATGTCAGTGGGGGATGTGGGGAGTCAAGCCGTGCTCCCACTGGAGCTGCCTGCTGTGGAGGGGCTTCAGTCCCAGCAGTGAAAGTCTCTGGCCTTGGGAGTGTGACCAGAAGAGAGGCTCGAGAGTGCTGGGCAGTTGGCTTAACATTCTTTCAAGACTGCTTAGAACCACGTGAGGTGACCAGTTTTTCCCTGAGACAGAAGTACGTTGTTCATCTCTTGACTCTTCCCAAGGAAGGTCCTCTGCATCTTCTCAGATGAACAAATTGTGCATATCAGGACACCTTCAAGTTTGTTGTTGCAGCCTCTGCCGGTCATGGTATTTAACTCCATGAAAACAGTGGGTACCCAGCAATGTCTGAAACAAATTTCTGGCAAACACATACATATTTGTCACTTAAAATTTGCTCTTTTATTTTGACAAGCTTTAAGAAAGATTCCCTGACAGAATTATGACTTCACAGTTCGCAGATGTTATTTATGCTCTATAAAATGTCACCAGCATCTGCTACCACGGTGAAATGCAGAACCTCAAAACAATCTGAAGTTCAGATGTAAACAAACAAAACCATTTTCCAAACAATGGTTTAAAAGGCAATAATGCTGAAATAGCCAAAGTATTTTAAAATCTAAAAAGGCATCAATCTGTTGAATTTTTATGGAATGAGATGCATTTGCGAATATAAAACTTCAGTTTCCCAAATGTAAATTGTATGTGACTCTCTGGATAAAATCAAGGTTTTTAAAGGTTGTTTCTATGTTCTGTCTGCTGTGTTGGCACTCCTGGTCCTCAAATTTAATATTCACAGAAAGACAGGTGCCCCTTAACATAGTGCCTTAGGATGTATCACTTCTGGGCAATTCAGAAGTGCCACAGGCACACTGACAGTCACATGCAGAACGGGATGTCCTGGAACACTGAGGCAGACCTGCAGGCACCTCCTCTGAGGCCTCATGTCACACAGTAGCCATCCTGACCTGGCTGGGAAAAGGAACATGCATTATTTGCCTTGGGGAAGCCAAATTACTCCAACTGTTCTTTCATGCATCTGGAAATGGCCCTAATCAGTGAAAAAGCATGAGTTATTGCAATCCAAATACCTGAATCTTTAGAAATTATTTGTGAAACACTTTGTGAAAATGTAAGGGCCCTGCCACTAGGGATGCAAACTTAAATGTACATTTACAAATACACACAGTTCAATTTTTATGGCATGCAATGGATCTCCACACCCCCTCTTTAGTATCCTTTAGTACAAAGAACTTGCTGACCCAGAGCAAAATAAACTGTCCTGATCTCCTAAATGAAGTACAATCTTCACTTCTTGGGCTTTTCTGAAAGGAGTACCTGCAAAAACAATCAGCAAGGGACACTGCAGCAAGCATTGGAAAGTCAAAGGCTGGACATCCAAACCACTCTGTCAGTTTCTTGGAATATACTGACAGCCAGTCTCCTAGAAATAAGCTGGATGATGAGACAATGATGAGAATAAAAGAGTGAAAGGAATGACGGATTTGTCTTTACAGACAAGCTGTAGGTCTGCTTGTAGATAAAACTAGCACTGAGAGATAAAAGAAAGGATCCCACTAATTGATGAATGGAAAATGATATTTCCTTTTACAAATAAACTGTAGGTTTGCTGATAAATGAAATTGGACATTGAAAGATGAAAGAAACAATGGGGAAACCCTTAAATTCCATAAGAATTAAAAATTCAAAGGGAGGGTTATACATTAGAGGGAAATCTTTGGTATCAGGTGTTTCGGGAAGTCCGTACCTCTCAAGTACCTCAGCCAATGGGGAAAGAAAGAACGGAAATGAGGTCAGGAAATAGGATAAAAAGGAGGCTGCATCCTCTAAAAATTTCAGAGACCCCAGTGCCTCTCCCTTTATTTGAATAAAGTAAAAGGACTCCTCTGACTTTTTTTTGGACATAAACCTCTGATGTTTGTGGATTAATTTTCCTTACAACAATAATGAGAATATTTCCTAAATGTGCCAGCTCTATCCACACCCTCTAAAGTTGTAGGCTGGTGCCAGAAAAGCCAGAATCCAACAGACTTACCCTTCCTGGAGTCATGTGAACACTAGGTGTAGGATGGAGCTGGTGCCAAATGTCATCAAGATCTTGCAAGTGTTAAAGGAGATCAGTGAGAAGGTTTTCTCTGCCTGTGGCACACGGAAGGACTCCAGGGATGGGAGCAGGTGGTGGTGGGGTGTGTGTGTTGTAGCCAGAGAGCCTTGCACAGAATAGAAGCAATAGTAGACTTTCTACCCTGAAACACACACTCCTTCACCGATGCTTTGAGACAGCAAAAGCTGCACCTACAAAATTTCCTCCCAGGATCACAGTTTTAGCTTGGCATAGGTAACCCATCAGCAGGATCAAGGAAGTCACCATTGCTAGATGACCTTTACAAAGTAACATCGTGTAAACTTCAAATTTTGAGAGAAAAGTCCAGAGAGAAACAAAACTACAGATGGTTCACTACCCTGAGGACCCACATGGAGCAGGAAAAACTGAAGGTGCACAGGGGCTGATAAATTAACCTCTATATTGCCTGTGTGTTCATAGAGCTTGGAGCTGTTGGAAGCTCTGAAACTGTCTGTTGCCTTCCAAGGCTATGACTCCCAAGCCTGGCTAGGACAGCCCTGGAGCTGGGGATAGACAGAAGCTGGATGTTGAAAACAGTACTAGCTGTGGATAGCAGGGTAGCATTTCCACCTAAGGTTTGGGATTAAGGAATGGAATAAAACATTCTCCACTCCAGTTTCAAGTACTTTAATAAGATATTCAATGAAAGTGCTAAGATTACAAGCAGCTTCAAAAAAACTTGGTAGTCTAAGGACAGACAAGTAAAGATTATCCTGCTAAACAACTTGTAGAGGTAATTAAGAGTCAGATAACACTGAAGAACCTCTGCACTGTATGTGACATTCAAGGTGTGGCAGAGAATGTGTCACCATCACAGACAGTACTGTAAGTGATTTAACGAAGAGTGTCTATTAGAAAAACATGCAGATACATTCTGCTTCACAAC